GGAATCACAGAATCTGATTTGGGTCGGAAGGGATCCTAAAGCTCATCTCGTTCTAAGCCCCTTCCACCAGACCAGAGAAACCCCAGAAAGGCACTAGAATTCCCAGCAAGCCAAGGGGAGGCCTGGAGAGCAGCAAAAGTTCCCAGCAAGCCCTGAAAAACCTTCTAGATGGGCTCCAGTCCCACCATCCCTGGAAGGTGCGGGAGGGAGGGGGTCCTAGAAAATGCGGGGAAATTCAAAGCAGGATCCTAAAACCCTATGGAGACTCTCTGGTGCTCCTGGATGATTGGGAGACCTGCAGCCCACTCCCCACCCCAGGGCTGCTGGATGGGGGGGCCCCATCCAGCTCCAGCTCCTCTCCCTGCACCAGCAGCCATGCCCAGAGGAATATTTAGGCAGCACAGAAGGATCCACAGTTGGGAGGGCGGGAACAGCTTCCCAGCACAGAGGAGAAGCCCCAAAAGTTTGGTATCTGTTGGGCTTTCCTATTCGCGCTCCCTGGAGCTGCTCGGGAAGCCCGTCTCAGCTCCAGCCGGTGTGCGGATGAGAGCATCCCTCCTCTTTCTCTAGGGAGGGACCTTCGCTGAGCCAGGCAGAAAATGCAGCCGCGAGTCCCCAGAAATACCGGTGCAATTACCAAAGCAATTATGTCCTGGCTGCCGCGCAAATCCTGCCCCGTTAATGCCGACAGCGGGGAGGGGCAGCGGGCGGGTCCTGCATTAATTAAACTTCCCTCGGCCAGTCGGAGATGACTGCGGAGAGGCTTTTCTTATTACTTGTGTTCCCTGAAAATAAATCTCCCGCGCTGCCAGGACTATCCCTCCATCCCCTGCGATGTGGGGCAGCTCCAGACGCAGGACTGGAGGGAGGCAGCATCACAGCGATGGAAAAGCAGTTGGATCCTCCAGAGCCCCTTGGGTTTTGTGGTCCCTGTCCCTGGGGACGGGGCTGCACGTGGAGGGAAAAGTGGCTGGAGGCATCCCAAGGGGAGTACAACAGGGATGGGGGGGAAGGAACTGGGGAAAAGGGGCCCTGATGGCTGTTACTGGCTGAGATAAAACCCAGGACATGAGGAAATGATGGGGGAGATGATGGGGGGATGGAGGAGAAGGGAAGGGGGTGACCTGAGCGGAGGAGAATTCCTATTCTTTACTCTCCTTTGATCCCTGCTCTCTCTGTTGCATGAAGACATTGATGCTGCATGAGGTTTGTTGGGTTTTTTAAGAGTATCATTTTTTAGAGGAATTTTTAAGGCAGGACTGGGGGGACCAAGCTTCCCTCTGGGAGGTGGGGGGGCATCGGGGTGCAGGGCTGTGGGTCTCCAGCTCTGCCTCCTCCTCACAGGTGGCTTGTGCAGCCTCACAACTGCCAAATTAAAATGCAAATATGTCCCTGCCTGCCGGGAACAGATAGTGAACTGCTAAACAGGGAAAAGGCAGCGGGAATAAACAGAGAGAACACTGAGGGGATCTGGGAGAGAGGCTGCTTTTTAATTGTTTTCCTCTTTTTTTCTTTCTTTCAGTGAGACTTGGCTGTTTGGTGGGGGATTATTTAATGGGACCTGAAGCAATAAAAGGGGGAAGGTGGTGGTTTTGGATTGGGTGGGTACTGGCGCACAGGTGGCCAGTCCTGGTGGGTACCACCAGCCCCCAGAGCAAGGGTGGGCTGCAGCCTCCATCGCCCCATCTCCAATTGCTCTCTGGGTTGTTTTTTGGGGTTTTTTTGTATGATGTCCCAACTGGATCATTCCTATGAGAAAAAAACCAAAATGGCAGTAGCAGGAGTGAACAGGACCAGCCGGGGAAAGGACCAGATCCCATCAGAGCCTTCATAGTGTTCCTCTTTTCCTGCACTTTGTCCCTGGTGTTTTGCCTGCTGCCTCCTGGTGCGTTTGCTGACGGGCTTCAAGGGCATCAGGAGCCCAAATAAATGGGTGGTGAGCTGCTTCCCTGGTGCTCCTGATGCCCAGAGGGACCAGCTAAGGGCTGGGATGGTGGGTGATGCTCAGGGGCATGGGTGTGTGTATTTATGGATGTTTGAATGTGCATCCACACACCCTTGCACCTGAGCAAAGCCCTTTGCATTGATCCATACAGGGACCACACACGTACATCCTCTCTCTCTCTCTCTCTCCCTCTCTCTCTCTCTATATATATATAAAGAAATAAACATATATATGTGCACACTCATATTATAGATGCATATATATGTATAAATACATATATATGTATGAAGTATAAATACATACATATGTATGAAGTATAAATATATGCATACATAGATATCAATAAATAGATACCTATAGAGCTGCAGAGAAGGGTGTGCTCTCCTCATTCAAAAGCAAAGCCACCCTGAGCAGGTTTCTTGCCCTTCCTGCTGCCCCTTACCCAGATCCAAGGGGAAGCAGCGACTCAGGAAGTGCCTGGATGGAGGTGCCTGGGGGTGCAGCTGGCAGGACACGAGCTGGGGGCACACGGGCACGAGAGCATCATCAGGCCCCCCAAACAGCGTGGGTTCCCCTGGGTGCTGCCTTCCCAAGGGGTTTTGGAGACCTGAGCTGGATCCATCAGCTGAAATGGGAGGTGATGGGCTGGAAAACCTCTGCTGATGCTTGGTGTCAGACCTCGGGCCTGGCTACGACCGGGAGGAGGTGGTGGGTGAGCAGCCAGAAGAAAGGGGGCAAAACCTGGCAGGGACACCCCATCCCCAGACTGCTCAAGCTGCCTGATTCCTGTGGATGATCCCTGTTCCTCCCATCTCCCACCTTCACAGCTCCACAGACCAGGAGTCAGGTGCTGCTGGGTCTTATCACAATTATAAAATTTTATTATACCCTTTTCTTACCTTTCCCCCCTCTTTTTCTTCCCTTTTTTTTTTTTCCTCCCCCCACAAATATTCATATATGTTAATTGAACGAGGAGGTTTGGCAATTCCAAGCAGGGAAGTCAGCTGTGTTAATTTTACTGCTCGGAGCCACTGTCAGCTCAGCAGCTCGTTCAGCCAGACCTGGGTCCTTCAGATAACAGGGCACAGTTAAACCAACTAATGGCATCACCCTCCTGGCCTCTGAGCACATCTCAATTCCCCCATACATACATATGTATATATATGTATATATAAAATCAGCATAGAGCCATCAGGTAAGTTTTAAGGCCACTCAGGGGAGAAATTTTCAAAGCCCCAAATTGATAAACTCTTTAAAGAGGCTTTTGAAACACCACACACCACCCTGGCCTGCTGCTCCCTGCTGGGAAAACTGAGCCATGGGGGCAAGCAAGGATGGGGCTGCACCACTGATCCCTGGCCACCCACCCTTCATCAGGCTGCCCAGGAGGGGAGGATTTGGGAGGGGGGAGCCCCAGACCCACAGCTTTGATCCCAAAACGCTCAGAGCTTAGGCAGGGGTCAAAGCTGAGCCAAGCCCTGGCAGTGTGTGTGTCCCCAGTGGATCCCACACCCACCAGGGCTGACCCCCAAACCACTGGAAGCCCCCACCCCGGGCGCCCCAGCAGAGACAGGGCTGCAATGCTGCTTGGTTTAGGCTTTTTGTTTCATTTTTAGGCTTTTTGTTTCGTTTTTTTTCTTTTCCGGTCTTTTATTTAAGAAAAAAAAAAAAGGAAAAAAAAAAAGAGACACAGTGGTGGGTAACTTCCAATCCAGAAATAATCTGCTGCAGCCTCCCCCTCCCCCGGGGGATGCTGGGGGGGTCCCTGTCCCCACAGGTGGGTGCCCATGGGACAAGTGCACAGCCTGGGACCCCCAGCCCCACAGCCCTTGTTCCTGGGTGTCCCTGCAGGGGTGACCTGGCTGAGGATGCTCTGAGCTGGGAGAAGGGGTGGCCCTGGGCTGGAGGGGCCTCTCGGGTGAGCCAGAGGGTTTGGGAGCTGCTGCCAGCGCGGGGTGACCGGGAGGCGTTGGGTTATGGCAGTCAGAAGGCACCACAGAGGCTGAGCCTGGCTCCGGGCATCCCTGCTGGGCTGGCACTGCGGGAACTGGGCTGGCACTGGGAGACTCAGGCTGGGTTGTGGGTGCCCCCACCCAGGCCTGGACCCCCTGGAGCAGTGGGAAGCCCCCGCGGCAACTTCCAGTAGTGGAGCCACATTCCAGCACTGAGGGGGGAAGGCTCGCCCCAGAGGTCCCAGCAGGGCTGTTGGGCTGGGGGGTCCAGCACTGGGAACAGAGAGGCAGGCAGGGCAGGCAGGCTCACAGGCAGCAAACTTGTTGGCCACCCCCAAAGTGCCCCTGCCCCAGGGACCACAGCCCTTCCCAGCCAGCAGGGGAGTGGGACAAGCCTGGCATTTGGGGCTGGGACACAGCAGGTGATGGGGACAAAGGGGCCCCAGACCCGTGGCCACTGGGCAACAGCCCCTCAGCAGCCGCCCTCCCCTCTTGCCTCCCTCACCCAGCATCACCCACAGCGTGCGCCAGCGGGCTCTGCGTGGGAGGGGATCCCCCAAACACCCCAACGACCACGGGCTGGCAAATCCCTGAACCGGCACTCACCTCCAAAATTGTGCAACTGAGTGCAGCAAAGGCGGGGGGGTGGCCTCCAGGAAGCCCCCACCCACCGCCCCTCTGCTGCACTCCTGGGGGGAGCGGGACATCTCCCCTCTTCCACCCCCTGCGCAGCAGGACCCGCAGCACCATCCTGCCCGTTCGCCACGGGACACGCGCACGCACCGAGGGTTTGACCCCATCCATCTCTGCCCTCTGCTTGCCCCCCTCCCTGCCCCTCACCACAGGCCAGCAGGCTGGGGGGGGCCACGTGTGTGCTGCTGCCTCCCCTGGGAAAACCAGTCGGTAAAGGGCAAGAAAAGCAAAAGGCCCCCGGGGGCGCCTTCCGACGGGGTGGGGACGTGCAAGAGAGCCAAATTTTGGGTCTCCAGCCCCAGGGAAGCAGCTGGCGTGGCATGGCGTGGTGTGGCGTAGCGTGGCGTGGCATGGCACGGCGTGGCATGGCGTGGCACAGCGTGGCAGCCCCCTCCCTCCCGCCCCGTCCCCTCTGCCCCTGCGTTAAGCGATCTCTTTGATCCTGCGGATGTAGTTGTGAAGCTCTTCGGGGTCTTGCAGCCCCATGTCCTGGCAGACCCACTCCAAGTCCTCCTCATCAGCGATGGGGATGGAGTTGTAGGCCAGCTCGTCGGAGGGCATTGTGGCGAAGGTGGTGAACTTCACCCGCTTCCGTTTGGAGGTGGGTGAGTTGAGAGGGTCCTCACTCTGGTCCCGTGTGGAGCCCCCCGAGGAACCGTCCCCTCGGCCGTGGACCTGGCTCTGCACACTGGTCTGCGAGCTCCCACTGCTGTGGTGGTCCCCATGGCAGCAGGTCTGGACATTTTCCAGGGGGTTCCCCGGGCTCTCGGGCTGCGGGGAGAGGTCATTGTGAGCCCGCAAGGGCTGCCCGTTGCCCAGGAAGACCCAGTGGTGGGAATGGTCCATGTTGGTCTGGCCTTCGGGCGGGATGCGTTTGTGCCGGTATTTCAGCACAAAGACAATGCAGTTGATGAGGAAGACCAAGATGGCCAGGCAGAAGACGCCCAGGAGGGCGTACATGCCTATTTCCAGGTCCGTCAGCCCCCGGGTCACCTGGACGAAGCCGGTGGGGATGGTGGGGAAGTCCTCGGTGGGGTGAGACGCGCTGGACATCCTGCTGTCCTCGCTCGGGTCCGCTTTCCTCTCCACCTCTGCCCGCAGGGTGGTGCTGGCCCCCGTCTCCCCCAGCCCCGGCTTGCTGGGCACGTGGTCATAGTCATAGGTCGGGTCCTCCTCGGACCCAAAGTGGACCCGCACGGTGGCCAAGGCGGTGGAGAGGACGCTCTTGCGCTTGGTCTTCTGGCAGCTCTCGCAGATGACCAGCTCCGCCCGGAGCAGCTCCCCCACGCCCTCACCCTCCGCCACCACCAAGGGGAACGCCCGGTCCTGGGTCACCGAGACCACCTTCTCGTCCAGGCTGCTCACCACCAGGTTGTAGTCCTTGGGGTCGTAGAGGGAGAGCGGGGCCGTGGTGCCGTCGCTGTAGGAAATCCACAGGCTCAGGAGCGCTTCCTGCAGGACCAACACAGGCACCGGTTGCCCAGCAGGATGCCAGTCCCACCTGCACCCGTTTGTCCATCCCTCCACCCATCTCTCCTCTTTTGCATCCTTCTCTCCGTCCAACTCACCCTTTTCCCCTCCATTATCCATCCTGCTCCTCCCAAACCTTGTTTTTTCTCTTTAGCCTGTTCTTCCCTCCATGCTCCCCATGCATGCCCAAGACCACCCCAAATCCCAGCCCCAGAGGTGCCAGATGTGGCTACTAGAGCTGTGCTAGGAATTGTATAGGATTTCATCCCTCCCCCTTTGTCCCCATGGTTGTGTCCCATCCCCAGGCTGGGCAGGGTTGGATCACAGGTCTGTGTGAAGTTTTATGGGGTGCTTTGGGGTCACCAGTGTGTCAGAAGGACAGTGGGTGCTGTGGGGGCCTAAGCTGAGTGTGGACAGGATTTGGGAGAAGGGGGTTGCAGATGGAACCCTCACCCCACCCCAGGTTCCCCACCAGCCCTCCCAAGCCCCTATGCACCCCCCTTGCCTCACCTGCTTGAAGAAGCTGAGGGTCTGCTGCACCGACGTCCGGGCGATGATGGTGTGGCTGTTGCCAGGGCTGGGGTGGAGGGACAGCGAGAGGCTGGAGACCACCTGGGCCTTCAGGTCGGTGATGCTGACCTTCTCCTCCGCCACCGTCACCAGTGTCTCACCCAGCACCGCCTCCACGAGCGGGGACACGACCTGCAGGGGACGAGGGTGCCTGTCACCACCTCCTGCCACCCCCAGCCAAGCTGGCAGAGGCGGGGGCAGGCGGCCGGGGGTACCTTGAAGAGCGTGGTGCCCGGCTCCCTCCCGGCCAGCGTGACACTGTCCACCAGGTGGGCCACCCGCGGGTCGTCCACGCGCATGAAGTCGCTGACCAGGTCGGTGACCTCCACCAGCCAGTCGGGCCCCAGCATGGTGACCACCTGCTCCGTGCCCTCGGCCGCCGTGGTGTGGAACTGGGTGAAGACCTGCAGCGTGGAATGCTGGTACTGCAGGGCACAGCCCCGGCTCTGCTTCCGCTCCTCCTCGTCCTCCTCGTGCTCGCTGTCCCGCACCGACCTGTGGGACGGGGCAGTGAGTGGGCAGTGCTGCCAAGCTCCCCACTGCCACAGCTCTTCAGCCCCAGCCCCAGGAATAGGTAGGGCTGGCTGAGCAAGAAAAAATGCAATGTCACCAAAACAGTGGTGGCTCCTGGCCAAAAGATGCCCATTGTCCAAAAGGTACTCAAGGGCTTTAGCAGCATGTGGTATTGGGGTCACCAGCATCTCTGCCCCCTAACCAGCTGAGAGGATGAGGTCTCTAGAGCTCAAAGAAGGGTTAACTTTGGAGTTTGGCTGTTCCCAGTTTCATCCAGGGAAGCTTTGACCATTGCCAATGAGGGATGCTCCCCACCAGCTCCAGCCTTTGACCAACCTCACTGTGGAATTTTCTTCCTTCCATACAAACACAAACTTCCATGAGCTCCCACCTTTCCATCGAGGACCCCTGAGATGACTCCGGCTCCATCATCTTCAAAACCTCCTCATTAAGTAGATGAACAAGGCAATTACCCCACTACCACCACCTCCACCTTGCCTTCCCCAGCCTGGACAGGCCCCACAACACGGTGGCTCCACAGCACCCACCTCCTGTCCGGCAGGATGGGCACCCTCCAGCCCTTCACTTGGCTCAGCCGGGCGTCGGAGAGCTCGATGTGCAGCGGCAGTTTGGGCACCCACACCGTCATCTCCAGCGGGGCCGAGAGGTGCTCGTAGGTGAAGGTGACCCGGGCGCTCATGGAGCCCCGCGACTCCTTCCCGCTGACAAAGACATAGTCACAGCTGCTGGAAACCTGGGGGAGAAGGGAAGGTGGGAGGGTTGCAGGGGTCCCACAGGCACAGCAGAGATCCTGGCAGGAGGCTGCCCAGAGGATGGGAAGCACTGGAGGAGCAGAATTTCACTGGCATGTATCCAGTTAATGGCAGCCCCAGGAGCAGGGATGCTCCCTCCTCCCCGAGATCCCTGCTCAGAGGCACAGACCCCCACACACTGTGTCCATAATGCAAAGTGTCCCCTGACCCAGGCCCTCCTGCCAGCCCTCACCCACTGCCAGCTCTCTTCTTGGTGCCTCAGTTTCTCTTTGGCCTCCACACTGAATTGTACCTTTTTCCACACCCGAGCTACAGGAACCCCATGGGTGCTTCACAGAGGTTGCAAATTCCTCATCCTGGACATTTGCCCCAAAATCTCCCCCACCAGAGGCAGTGAGCACAGACCAGCCACATGCCTGTCCTCACCGGTGCCTTGTCCCTGTCCCTCCTGCTCACCCCAGAGCGAGTTTCCTGCAGTCCATATGAATCCTCATGTTCATCTGCTCACTCTTTCTCTTTTAATTCCCCTTTATGCAAATGCCATTAGTTAAATTCACTACAAAGCAAATACATCCTGCAGGGGGTCAGTCATTACCGACCGACTGAGCCAATTAAGGAGCTCAGAGGACACCACAGCAGCATCACCCGGTGTTTCAGTTTAGGTCACCAGTCAACAGCTCCTTCCCAGTAACGGGGCCAGAAGACAACCAGGAGAAGGGGACTCCAACCTCCCATCTGCAGTGGCCCTATGGCCTGACCTCAACACCCTGTCCCCTCCCTACACCATCAGGGATTGCATCCGAGTTGTCTGATGCCAGGGAAAACCAGAACTTGTTTGCTCAGCCGGCAGCGCGGTCGCTCTCGAATGCACTGAGCATCTCAACAGCACAGAAGGGCTGATTTCCAACAAGCTGCTCTCTCACGTGGATTCTCTGATGGCTGATAAGGGGTTGAGGCCACGCTGCATGGTATCTGACAGCAGAGGTGACAGCATGCCTGTCTCTCTCGCCACCTATTCTCTGAGCACCTGTGGTCAACCAGATGCAGGAACTTTGCATTTCTGAGCCCACAGCAGGGCCTGACTTCTACAACAGCCCATGAGCCCACCACAAGGTGCCCATGGTTCCCTGAGGCCGGTGGAGGAGGCAGAACTCTGGACCTGAGTTCTTCGGGACATCTCTGCTCTCTGGGCACAGGGGGGAAGTGCAATGTAGGAGGGTTTGTTTCTTGTCTTCCTATCAGAGATACCAGCTCAGCAAGTCTGAAAAGACAATCTCATCTCTGGCGAGGCGGCGTCTGAATAAAGATGAGCTCCCGGGTGAATCCTCCAGCAAAGGATGCTCTGGATATTGTGCCATTTATCACAATAAACACACTGGGCTGCTGCTTGCACTACCCTGGCTAATAAACCCCCCGGCATCTTCTCCTGGGGACCACTTGCTTTGCAACTGAGGGGGTTGAAACTACGACAACAAAAAAATCCCTGCACATCAGGCCTGTCCTGATGATGGAGTGACTGCAGATTAGCTTTTAAATGAAGCCCACGCTTGTTCGGAGAAACTTCCCGGATTTGCAGGGGGAAGGGAGAGGCTGAGGTCTGCCTGGGCTCCTGGCCAAGGCACCACTGGCTCTGCTTCTGTGGCCAGGAGCTCCCCCCTGGCACAGCCTCAAGCTGGGATCAAGGGGACACATGTTCTCCACGACCCTTGGGAGTGGGAAGAGCCACCACAGCTGGTGGCACCCCACGTCATCCAAGGGTCCTGGCGGTGGCTGTGGATGACCAGGGTTCCTGAGGCTCAGTCCCACTGGGCTGACTTGATCCTGGTGAGTCCTCTGGGGGAGGTGGATGGTGGGCTCCTAAGAAGGTTCACACACAGGTGAGGTTGAGCATCTCCCATTAAGTGTTGCTGGCAAGAGAGGTGACCCTTCCACTCCCTGCATGTCACTCAGCCCCCAAGGTCACCACACAGGCAGGCAAGGGGGGTTACCTCGAGTGATGATGTCCTCCTGCCTGGGCTGAGCATGGGCACCTTTGTCACCCCATGTCACCAGAGAAGGGGATGAGGATGACAACTCCCACCTGTGCTCTCCCACCATCCTTCACAGTCCCTGGAACCTCCACAGCCACATCTACACCAGATTCCCAGGACAGATCCCCTCAAACGAGAGCAACCACCACCGAGCCACAGTCAGCGTGGGGAGAAGCAGCTCTCCAGCCCTCCCTCATGTTAAATTATTTACAGTAACAGACAGCACATCCCACTCTGTAAGCTTTGATTTATGTAACAGGTTTATAGCCCTGACACCATAATCATACGCCCCAATCTCAGCAGGTAACTGAGAGCTCCCTCGGAAATGAAGCTCCAACACAAACACAAAATAATTCAGGAAGAAATCGCGCGGGGCTCCGAGCGGGAGGTGAGCTGGGGCCGGAGGGCTGCTCCCTGCATTATTCATCCTGGCTCCTGTGCATGTGTCTGCTCCCCCCAGGTCTGGGGACAGTGTGTAAATAGATTTATGAGTAGAAAGGCAGCACATTAAACAGTTTAAGTGTCTTGGAGTCCATCCTGAAGTGTATTATTGCTCCAGTGTTTTATCACGCTGTGGAGGACTGGTCTCCATAAATTAGACCCAGTGCTGTAAATCCCACAGACTGGAGTTTTAGTCAAGAACTTGGGTAAACAGTTTGTGACACTGCTTGTCACCCACCCACACCCACGGACAGCTGGGGACAGCAAGTCCTGGTGGGGACAGGGCTCTGCCCGTCATCCCTGGCTCAGCTGGGAGAGCTGCTGGTGGCTGCTGGCAAAGAAGGGGAGAAGGGGTTATGGTCTGGGGGACACAGAAGAGCCCAGCCCCCCAGCATGGCTCTGTGTCTCTGCCCAACATGGTGGGGACATGGAAAGGGAGGAAGCGCTGGGTGCATGCAGGGAGAGGGGTGGGAGGTGTTTGGGAGAAGGTAATGATGTGTGGGGGTGGATGGATGGAAGTGGTGGTAGAATGACATGGACAGGTGGGTAGATGGATACATTCAGGGATAGAAAAATGTATATGGATGGATGGGTCTGGTGAGGGAAAAACTGGAGGATTTGAGGACCGACTGCTGCCTCGGTGGCGGGGGCTGGTGCGGGGGCACTCACTGCTGCTGCACAGCGAGCCTTTTGCACTGGCCTCACCAGCACCTCTCCCCTGCAGTCCATCTGGCTCCTCTCCCTCAGTCCCCTTTTCCCTCTATCGTCCCCAACTGCCCAGCTCAACCCCAACATCTCACTGGGGACAGCCCCCAGCCCAGCAGCCGATCCAAACAGGAGATAAATGTCATCCAGAGACCCAAGTGCAGCCACTGATGGGAACATGCAGCTTACACTGTGAGGTGACAATATTTCCCCTTATCGGCACTCAGTGCTGTGATAACCCATAATTATTGCTGCTGCCTGGTGCCAGCCTGAGCAGCACTGCAGCATCCCACAGCTTCTCCAGGCACAGTGACAAAGTGTCTTGCCCTTCTCCCGACAGATCCCAGGGAGAAGCACGCATGGACTGAATCCACTGAGGGGATGATGCTCGGGATGGCCGGGCTGGTGTGGCACATCAGCTCCCCCCACTCATCGAGCTCCAGCCCATGCCGCCTTTGGGGTCAGCACCCCTGGAAGAAGCTCAGCCCCCTGTGAGGGTCACAAGAGCCTCCTGCCCACACCCACCTTGATGATGTCTTCGTTGTTGGACTTGCACTCGACCATAGCTGAGACATCCACAACGACGCCGCTCAGCTCGATGGCAATGACCTTCACGGGAATGGCCACCGTCCGCCCCGTCAGGATGGCTGTGTTGATGATTTCTGTGTCCTGGGGATGGGACATAAAGGAGACCATCACGTTAGAGGGCAGCCTGTCCCCCCTGGGATCAGATCCTGGATGGCCCCTGTCCTGCTCCAGCCCTGTGGGGGTGGGTGGGATGTAGGGATGTGTAGGATGTATGGATATGTAGGGTGTACGGATGTGCAGGTGCTGTAGGGCAGATGGGCGGGTCAGAGATCCCTCAGGGGCACCCAAACCCTCAAAGCAGATAACTAAGCAGAGGGCAGGAACCTGCTCACCATGGCCAGGGGCACGATGGCCCTGATGTCCCTCTGGATGACCGTCAGCTCCGTCACCACCTTCTCCAGGTCGGGCGGGGGGTTGCGGCCGCGGTAGTCGATGTGCCACATGATGCGGCGCGTCACCGACTGGCTGGTGAAGTTCTCCATCTCGAAATCCAGCTGCATGATCTCAGAGGAGTCATCCCCATCCCTGGGCAGGGGGACAGGAGGGGACACGGTGAGCTGGGTGTCCCAGGACCCACAGACACCCCAGGATCAGTGCTGGGCAGTCCCCAGCATCCCCAGCAGGTCTCCTCGGTGTCCCCATGCCTGTCAAGGGGGACTGTACTCTGGGTGCCACCAAACCCAGCAGCCCTGACACCCACCTCTGCCAGGGGCTGCTCTGATGGGAGCCTGAAGGTTCCCACGAGACTCTTCCCAGGGGGAGAGAGAAATGTTTTCCACTGCCTCTTCCCAGCAGTTGAAAAGCCTCGTCAGCTCCCCAGGGGCTGCTGGGTGATATATTATCACAGGGTCAGCATATGGCTACAGTTCCAGAGGACAGTGGGTGGCTGCAGGTGCTGTCCTCGTCTCCCTGGCTCCGTTTTCCCAGCAGTGTGGCTGGATTTACTGCCCTGGGCTGCTCCTGCCTGCACACTCATTTCCCGCAGGTCAGACCCCAAGTGTCCCACACCCAACATGCTCAGGGACGGCAAATAAGCCCCTATAGAAGGCTCAGTCCAAGCTGTGGACTTTACAGCCCCTTCCAAGTGGATCACAGGGGTAAACTGAGGCACGGGAGAAAGAGGTTCAACCACACAGCAGATGGGACAGTGCTGGGACTCAGGGCAGGGCTGTCCCCTAGCCTGTGAGCACAGCCATGGGGATGGGGGAGGTAGATAGGACCAGCAGAGAATAACAGGCCTGAGACCATCAGCTCATCAAACACACACAAATTAATGCCACTGCTGAGGACAGAAGGACATGGAGCTAATGGACAGGGACTGAACTCTGGGGCATCCCCGAGGCAGGACAGGATAAAAGAGGAGCATCGTCAAACCCTGCACGTGGTGCCAGTCTAATGGGATACTCTGCTGTCCCTCTGCATCATGGCTTGGACAGTCTGACGGCCACAGCATAAATCACTCTTACACCCCAATCCTACAAGCAAACCTCCACAGAGGTGGTCCTGCCCTCCCATCCCTTCCTCCAACCTGCAAATCCACTGGGAGGACTTGGGATTCAATGCTCCCCTCCCAAAGTCAAACTTCTGCATTGTTCCCCAAAAATAGAGCATCCTCGGGGGACACCCTGGAGCCCCCACAAACCACGGCACTGGCAAAAGCTCCCCAGAGCTGGGTGGGGGGAGAGGGGAGGAAAAGTGAAATCACTGTGGAAGGGGAAGCCAGGACTGGCTCCACTCTCATCTCGCAGTGCAGCAGCCACTGAGAAGATCCCATCGATCTGGGGATGCAGGATGCAGTCGGGTTTCGCTCTGATCAATATCTAATGAGTGAAAGGGAGCAGAGAAAGAGGAGAGCAAGAAGCTGGAGCTGCTCCAGGCCATGGCAAGCCCTGATCCCTGATTCCACAGCAGCAATGATGAGCTCTGCAGTGGAGCTGCCACACAGGGGCTGGTGAGGTCCTGGCTGTGCCCCCGAGGCAGGTAGAGGGGCACAGGGGGAATAGCCAAAGGCCTCCTGGTGTGAAGGGGATTTGGCTGCTCACTCTCTCTTCCAAGGCAGAAGTGTTAAACACAGCCAGGAAGAGACAGGTTCAGAGGCAAAGTAGAGCTGCAGCTTCATGCCAGAGGCGGTCCAGTGCTGGAACTCCTCACCATGGGGTGCCCAGAGGCGTCCCAGGAATCCTGACGGGGCCAGCCCTCATCTTCTGCCTTCACCAAGCATCATCTGCTCTCAGCCACGGCAGAGACAGGAGCCAGGCTGCCCAGACTGGGGGGATAATTCAGGATGCAGCTGCTGGGGTGCAAAACATCCCAAACTGCCCATTATCACCCCAAAGCTCAGGGCTCTCACCCCCTCCCTGCACTGCCAGCGCTGCCAAAAGCCCCCAGAGCCCCGGCGAAACAAACGCCTCTGTTTGCACAGCCCGGAGGGCAACACGGCTTTGAGTCATTCATACTCTCCATTCCGTTAATATTTGATGGAGTTGTTTGTCTAAAAGGTGATTGTAATCACTTTAAATTCCTCCTCCATCTCTAACCTTTGCAGGCTGATTGGAAGCAGCGGTGGCAGTAGGAGAGGGGGAAGGGGGAGAGGATCCCGCTGCCGGCAGCTCTGGTATCCATGTGCTGTGCTGGGGTGGGTGTGCAGAGGACGGGAGGCTTGTGGTTTTGGAGACACTCCAATATCAGCCACGGGGCCACGGGCTCGGATGCTGTGGGGCAAAGGAAAACCCACCCTCCAGATAAGCCCTTTGCTGCAGAGAGCTTTTGAGGTCACATTTGGAGCACTCAGAGCTGAGGATCTTTCTGCAAGAGCCTGTCCCCAGCTTTGCTCAGTGTTGGGGTGGGGGGCAGAGCTATGGGGAGACAAGGATATGTTCCTGCCCCAGAGGGGATGTGCTCATCAACTTGCTTTAACCTGGCTCCTGGAGACACTCATGTCCCTTTTCCCAAAGACACAGTGATGGAGATATCACAGCCTGGGAATGGTTGGTTTCCAGCACTTCAGAATCTTTCCTGCTGGTGTTTTTGACCCCATGCCTGTCCTCTGCCCTTGCTTGCTGTGTCCTGCCAGCCCCATGTCTCCCCTTCTCCAGGCTGAGCAGCCTCTGGGTTTTCAGCTTGGCTTTGTGGGTCCTATCTCCTTCAGATCATTCCCATTTATATCCCCTGGGTTCTTCTCAACTGACCTGAGCCTATCCCAGAGCCCCAAGAATGGGCTCATATTGAGCAGGGCAGAACTGCCCTGTCTCGGGTGCTGATTTGGTTTGTGCTCCCATTCCAACACTCATCCATCACCTGAGGGTTCAGATGGGACCTTTCCTGGGGACTGCTCCTCTTCCTTCCCAGAAAAGACACCAGGATAGTCAGCAAACAGCTGCTGCCTCTCATGGCATTAAAAGTCATTAAAAAAAATTAAATATTTCCACCCCAAACTGGGGGATCCCCCATGGCTTCACAATACAGCCCTAAAATCCACCCCACCTGCCCGCCACCATCTGACACAGCCAGGCAATCCCAGCTCAGAGCCAGGGATGCAGCTGCCAACCTGTACCGATGACTGAGCCCCAGAGGCCAGATGCCACCTGAACGTGCCACCTCACACAGTCCTTGGGCACAAACCTGCCCACAAACCTTCCCACCTTGGGCCACAAAATCCACCTTTTCCCACCCTTCACCCAGCTGCACAGTGCCAGCCAAGCTTAGAAATCACACACAACATTAAGCCACTTCCCATGTTGCTGCAGGACCTGCCCCGACCTCAGCTGGGCTGAGGGTTTGATCCCAAAACTGCTCATCCCCTCTCAGTGCCCCCCAGTCTCACATTCCAGGCCATGCCTCAGTTTCCCCTGCCAGCACCCATGTGGCACTGCAGCCACCCAGACACCCAGGTGGGGGGCAAAGGGAGAACCACTCCAGGCCAAATCCCAGCGATTTCCCCAGCACCCCCAGAGGGGAATCCCTTACCTGGGCCCGGCCCCATCCACCCTGGACACATCGACAGTGGCAGTGGAGTGTTTGCCACCCGTCAGCAGCTCCGAGCTCACCAGCCACTGCCCACTCCTCGACTTGGTGCTGAGCAGGTTGACACCCTTCTTGGCCTTCACCCTGCAGAGAGCAACAGTCAGGGCTGGACCCTCACCCCGCACACCCCTGGATCCCCCTGGACACCCCATCATAGGCACAGGGGGATTTTTTGCCCCAATCCTTCCTGGCTGTCAGAAACATCATCTGGGCTGGAAGCAACCTCATAGGGCTGAGCCCACACCAGCTTCTATTTTTCAGAGTATTTTGTTCCTCCCATCACACCTCCAGCAGGAATTTGGTCCCCCAGGGCTGCCCCTGTGGGACTGGGCATCCCCAGGGCAAATGACAGAAGAGCCTGGAGCACTGCATCCCCGTGCCATGGGCTTGCTGCTGGCCCAGAGGTCACAAGGACACTTGTAAATGTCCTTTGAAGAGATGTGGCCACGGCTTGTACCCCCATCTTTAGGGACATGCAGCAAGAGAGGGTTCCCCTGCACACTGCCCCACACTGGGGTGCTGAACACCCACTGCCCCTTCTGCTCCCACCTGGTTCTGGGGCAGGACGAGGGGACACAGGAAGCCTCCTCTCACTCCACAGCAGCCCCATGGCCATACCATACCTTGTCCCCAAAGTGGCTGTGAATAAACCCACATCTGCTGGGAGAATCCCGGTGCAACTGGGAACACTGGGAGAACAAAGGCAGCAGTCCATGGTGCCAGTGCAGAGACGGAAACCCTGCATGGGGAGCCATTCTCTCTAAGAAGCTCCCACTGCAAAAGCCCCAAAACTGCAAAACCACATGCCGGCTGATCCCCTGGCCTCTCTCATCTTCCCAAAGTCCTGCCAGACCTGGTGCAGCACCCAGCAGGTCCCATAAACACCATATGCCCTCCCCACCCTCTCCCTTCTGCCTAGATGGAACAACCACTCCTTGGAAAGGCGGCTGCTCCCAGAGTGGGGACAGCTCCAGGGCTTTACCTGAGCGTGAAATGCTCCACCGTGGAGTTGGACATCAGGTAGAGGAGGATGCTCAGCACCTCTCCTGGCTTGAGGGGCTTGTCGGGCAGGCGGATGAAGACGTTGCCGTCCAGCCGGTGCTCCTGCATGGGCTGCCCCGGCGGGGGCTGCAGGAGGCTGACGCTGCCGATGCGCAGCAGCGGGTGCTGCGTGGGACCCTCAGTCCTGGCCCCCCCGGCGCCGCGGCGCGGGACCGTGTCCCCAAGGCACTGGCCGGCCCCGTCGGGGGCGTGCAGGGTGTAGTACAGCTCGGCCTGCTGGCTCTCGCCCGGCACCTCCAGGCTCTCGGGGCTCTTCCTCCTGCCCAGCGGCACGGCCGAGGGGCCGAACCAGGCGTGGGGCAGCTCCGCCTGCACCAGGCACATGGCCAGGCTGCCCCGCAGCCGGCACGAGCTCTTGATCTCCCGGGCGTCGCGGAAGGCGTGGAGCCGCACGCAGGGCAGCCGGTCGGTGACATCGAAGTCGTCCCAGTCCCGGCCGGCCACGTAGAAGAGCACTTGGACCACGGGCTGGCTGGCCACCAGCCGGGGCTGGATGATGAAGGCGCGCACCTTCCAGTTGACGGTGAGGCGGTCGGGGACCTCCAGGGTGCTGGAGGGCTGCAGGTGCTCCTTGGGCAGCACCAGCCCCGTGCTGAAGGGCCCCAGGGTGACGTTGAGGACAGGCAGCTCCTTGGTCTGGAAGACGACAAAGGGCTCGGAGCGCTGCAGGGGGGCGCTGCTGTTGCCCCCCGGGCTGGCTCCCACCTCCTTGAGGAAGAAGGCCAAGCGGGTGTTGGACAGGCGGTAGCTCACGGGCAGCAGGATGGCACCGGGGGGCTCAGCGGGCTCAGGGCTGGGCGCTGGCCCCTTGGCATGGGCTGCAAAGGGGATGGAGAGTGCAGGTTAGTGTGGGGCACCTCCCTCCAGAACAGCTCCTGAGCAGGGAAAACAGATCCAGGCAGGAGTGGTCCAGCCTTGCAGCAAGAAGGAGCTGGAGCTTCAGCCCTCACAAGGGCAGCAAGAGCCTGGCTGGGTTTCTGTCCTGCAAACCAAAAATGCAAGAAACCTCCCCAGGACCTCAAGCATGGTTGTGCCTCCTGATGGTTGGCACCAGCCTCACCAAACCCACCCTTGGCATGGGATGGGGTGTCCAGCAAGGAGGGATGCTCAGGGGCTGCCCAAGGCTGGGCCAGAGTGTGTTGAAGCCACATCCAGCCTTGTACTGTCCCTGGGAACCCAACACTAGTCACCCACCCTGGCACTCATGCCAAGGCACTGGCTGAAACAGCACAGACCCACTTACAGAAACAGGGCATAACTGGCTTCATTCCTGCTTCCAAACCCACCAAGAAAAGGATGAAGAGTTTCTCCAGAAGCTCATTACCAACAGTTAAGTCCAGGCTAATTTTTGGCTGGCAGATCCCACCACGTGTCTATCATCAAGGTTTTCCTCCTTCTTTTAGCACCCAGGTCACATGAGGAAGGTGGCTAAATCAGACCCCAGATCCACTCTGTCCCCACAGGCTGCCTGTAAGGGTGTCACAGCCAGCCTGTCACCCATCACTACCCAGGGCTGCCACCCACACAGTGCTGTCCCCATGCAACAAAGCTGACCCAGACCACATTTTTCCAGACACAGACATGGCCTGATGGGAAAGTGAAGCAGATGATGTTGGTGCCGCCTTGTGCAAACCTCAGCAGTGCCCAGGTGTGACAGCCCTTAGGAAATCCCTGCTGTCCTTCCTTTTGATCATTTTGCCTTAAAAAAGAGAGTAACTCCACTACTGGCAGAGCAGGCAGCCACTGCCAGCCGTGCACTCCCGAGGGTCCGAGCTGCCCAAGCCCCTCAGAGGGAGCCAGTGATCCCACTGCCACGGCCAGCAAGCGGGGAGAAAACCCACGGAGATGCTCCTGCTAAAGCAGATCCTGCGAAAGGCGGCTGGTGCGGAGCCGGCCGACGGCACGCGCTGCGCTGGCAGCTGCGGGAGCCTGGAAGACATCTCAAGGTCTTTGCATTCTCCATCGGCTGCCAGAAATCCCCAGGAGGCCTGGGTACCCCCCCACTCCCCTCGGCTCTCCGCCAGCCCCCCGCAGCCCCGTTCCCAACGCTGATTGCAACCGCTCCCAAGCGGCTCCCGAGCGGCGGAGCCCAAATTACCCGTGTCAAACGGCGGGGAAAGGTGCGGATGTGACGGCTCAGCTCCCAGGAATGACTCAGCCCCCTTCCTGACAGGGGCTTTGGAGCGTGCCAGGACCCTGAGGCTTTTTCCAGCTGGGAGAGTGGCCTCAGACAAGCTCCCCAGGGCTGACGGGGACGCAGGAACCCCCAGCCCACCCGGGGCACTCTCTGCTGCGGGGCACAGGGGGGTTAAGCAGCTTAGAGGGCTCATAAAAGGATTAGCACTTGATATGGGACAGGGAGCATCCACAGCTACATCTCCTGGGATGAAAGTTGTCCAAGAGCCAGGTGGAGAATTCCCCTGGGCTGGGCAAATGCTGGAGACACGCTGCCGGCACCACCGTGTTGGCACCACCACGGGCACAGCTCCAGCCTCTGTCACCCCATCCCACTTGCCTTATCTGTTTTCCCATCTCCTAGAGAGCCAGGAGCTGCAGGAGAGGTGCTGAGCCTGGGAAAACACCTATGGGTGCCCCTCTGATCAGCAGTAACCAGCAGCAAGGGGGTTTCTGCTCCTCTGGCTCACCGAGGCTGTTTTCTGCTGCGAAACATGAAGGTTTGCATCCTCCCTGCCATCCCCAACAACTAGGAAAAGGGATTATTTCCAAAGTATGAGATTATTTGTGGAAAAGGATCCACCAGCTGGAGCAACATGAGCAGGACAGCTTGGGTGAGGTACCGGCAGGACCGATGGAGGCACGGACAGCAGGGGCTTTGTTCATTCACTCACTGAAACAGCATCAGTCTCTACCCCTTAAAAACCATTGGGGTCTGTGGAAGGTCATTTAACAAAGAAAACCCGCACAAAACCCAACCAACTCAATGCCCAGAACAGCCCCAAGGAAAACCTACCCTTGGGGTGGTGCAAAATGCCCGCAGTCACCACCTGCCCCTCGAGTGTGGGACACGAGAACCTCTGTGCCGCCCCGGCGAGCACCAAGCACTGCGGCGAGGGGCAACCACTGCCACCCACCACACTGGGAGAGCTAAAGCAGCTGAGTTTGGCTGCAATTTGTGGCACAGACCCCCAGAAAGCAGCTGCTTCCTCCTTGCCACGGGGATTCTCTGATGACCAATGAGGGTTGTGCACTGCCCTCTCAAACGAGCTGGGCACCCTGCTCGACTCAGACAAGGCACCCTGGTGCCAAACCCTGCTGGGATGGGGACACCCAGGGTGGCCCTGTCACCAAGCCCAGCACCCTGGCCATGCCAGATGGGGGAAGGGATGGGGACAAGCTGGGATGGAGATTAATGGGATGGCCATGATTAGTTCAGCGCCGGCAAATTGCCGGCACCCAGAGAAGCGATTTCCTTCCACAGACAAAATGCATTTAAACGATGCTATAATATGTTGCTGGGAGGGGGACAGGACCAGCGCCTCCGTTCCCTGGCCATAAACTCATCCTGCCAGGAGAGAGTCTAACCAGCCTGGGGTGGGTGCCAGGATGGGGGAATCAAAGCCCAGCCCAGCCCAAGCCTCCGCACCAGGGTGGTGAGGGAAGGAGAAGGGAGTCAGGAGATGCATGGAGATATGGATGAAGCTGCTGGCCAAATAGCAAGGAAAAAAGGGTGGATAAGGATGCATAAACCAGCAGAGAGAATGGAGGGTGCATGGATGGATTGAAGGTGGATCAGAAATAGCTGGACAGCAAGAGAATAGTTCTAGGATGAGAGAGGTGACGGATGGAAGAATGCACGGATAGAAGGATGGATGGAGAGCACAATGGCTCAGGAGAAGGGAGGAAAGGAAGGAAGGAAGGAAGGAAGGAAGAAAGGAAGGAAGGAAGGAAGCTCAAAAGATGGAAGAAAGATGGACAGAAGGAAGGAAACAGGAAGGATGGACAGACAAGCACGACAGCTCAGGAGACTCCAGTCCCCACACCACCGTCCCTGGACCCTGCCCTGGTTTCAAGCCACCCCCAGGAGGGAAGGTGGCTCTCATGTCCCCCCTCTGGCTGGGTTTGGGGGGACAGAAGGGTTAAGCCCTGCTCTGCAGCCCCACTGCTGTGGTTAACGGGATTTGCAGCACCTGACCTGCATTCCGGGTTTATTAGGCCGGCACAGAGGGGACCATATGGTCCTTCCACCCCTGCAGCTCAGCACTGCAAGCCAAAAGGCAGATCTCTGTGCCTGGCCAGACTCTGACTGGCCTGGGGGCTTCCCAGACCTCCCAGGCTGAGGAGCCACCCCAGCCCCACAGCGGGATGGGACGAGCCTCCCGCGTGTCCCATCCCTCCCACCCCACAGCAGCCTGTGGGAAGCTGGGTTGACCTGCAACCCACGGCAGGGAGAGGGGGGAGAGAGGGAGATGTAAACACACAACTGCTGGTGACCCCCTTGTTGAGCCCCCACATCTGCCCGGCCAGATGTGCCCCGCACCGGCTGCAGACACACGGCCAGATGGGCCAAGGGAGGGCACGTGGGGACAGTGGCAGCACCCTCCAGCCCTGCCTGAAAATCCAGACCACCCTCCCCAGGCTGAGGGGTCTCACTGCTGCAAAAAGCAGCACCAAAAGCACTGAATCCTCAGAAAACGGGGCATGGCAGGAGTTCAGCCCCTCCATCCTGCCCCTGCTGCAGCTTCATCAGATCCATCCCTGCTCCCACCTGTTATCCCAAGGCTGAAGACCCTCCTCCTCTTCCCCTCATCTAGAACCGATAGCCAGTGCTGAGCCCCAGCTTAGCCCCAGCCCCAGCTGTCTGCCATAGGGATCGCTTTAGCCACGCTCCAGGGGGGGCTTTATCCTGGCTTATCCTGGGGGACACAGCGGGGGCTCCCGGTAGTATATCCCCACTTACGAGGGCAAAACCATACAGGAAAACCACTGGAGAAGGAGGAAGGAAGGTCTGAGGTCACGCCAGGAGGGTTAAAACCTCTCCTGGTCATAAGAGGCGGCACTGGGGGCTCAGTGAATCAATGGACCGGACGCAGCTCTGACGGAGATGCCAAAATACCAGCGATGTGAGACACCAGTCCAAGCTCTCCTGGCTCCTGCCAGGCCATTGCTGGGCTTCCAGGGTGCTCCCACCTTGGAGCAAGCCAGAAAGTTGTCCATAAAGCAGAGTTGTCCATAAAACAGTGACTTGAGCTGACGTGGGGATAAAACCCTCCCTAAATACACGGGGAGGGATGGCAGGGAGCAAAACCTCTCAGCCCCCAAGGAGAAAGTCCAGCCTGGATATTCCCAACTGGGCCACTGGCATGGAACTCCCAACTGCTGTTTTGTTTCAAACCAGGATAAAGCCACCCCGCTTCCCTGAGCATCCTGTGGATCCCAGCGGAGGCTTCACAGCCCCAAAACCTGGTGGTTCAGGTTTTGCCACCACATTCATCAGGGCCAAGCACAAATGGGAAACATGGGCAGCAGCCCCAAACACCAGGGATGTGCCACATCTGGAGCTCCTAGGGATGTCCTACACCTTGATGTTCCCACATCTGGATGCTCCAGCTAGAGGCAGCCCAATCTCCCAGGGAAGGGTCAAGCTCACACATCTCCCCACCTGTCCTGGGAACAGGCATTGCACCCATCCCTTTCCCTCCTCACCCCACAGCACCAATCCCTGACGCACTACACACCCACCAAGTGGGGTCAGCACCTCCAAACACCCCAAAAAGCAACAAAAAGTGGAAACAGAAGCCTCCGTGCCTCCACTTTCGCTCAAAATTCAGTCAGCCCCAACACAAGCCCCGCTCCACTG